ATCGTAAATATGGAAATTCTTACTTTTAATGTATGTTAATTTTATACAACTCCTTTCAACTCAACACAAATAGATAATCTTACATATATGTGTTGGCCTCATGCATCTGGGACACGTCACTGCCCTGATCCCGCCTGTTCAAACAAAACACAGAATTATTTTTAATTTGGTATACTCTCTCTGAAATAGTTATAAATGTGCATTTTACCTATATATAAACAGCACACATTCTCTACAACCCATGCATTCTATCGTCAGTCTGACAACCCATGCATTCTATTCGTCAGTCTGTCTGTCGGTAGGTCTGTCTGTCTCCTTCCCTGCCTCTCTTCTTTTATTTCCCAATCTTTTTCCCTCTATCTCTCTGTCATCTCTCTGTCTCTCTCTCTCTCTCTCTCTTTTTTTTTCTCTTTCTCTCTCTCTCTCTCTCCTTTGCTTCTCTATCTCTTCTTATATTCTCTCTCTCTCTCTTTCTCTTTCTCTATCTTGCGGCCTCGTTCCTCACCCTTTCTCTGGTCTCTCTATCTCTTGTCTTTCTCTTATCTCTTCGTGCGTATCTTCTCTGCTTCTCGCTTCTCTCTCTCGCCCGCTGTCGCTTCCTCGCTCTCTCTCGCTTCTCTCTCTCTCGCCCCTCTCTCTCTCTCGCTCTCTCTCCCTTCCCTTATCTCTCTCTTCTCTCCTCTCTTCTNCTCTTTTGCCTCTTTCTCTCGCACTCTCGTCTTCTCCCCTCTTCTATCGGATGTCTCGCTTCTCCCTCTCTCTTTCTTTCTCTCGCTCATCCGCTCTCTCCTTTCGCTCTCTCTCTCTCTCTCTCTTCTTTCTCTCATCTCTCTCTCTCTCTCTCTTTCTCTCTCGCTCTGTCTCTCTCCCCCTCTTCGCTCTTTCTCTCTCGTATCTCTCTCTCTCTCTCTCTCTCTCCTCTCTACTTTCTCTCTCTGCTCTCCCTCTTTCTCGGCTCTCTCTCTTACCTCTCATTCTCTCTCTCTCGCTCTCTCCTCTCTCTCTCGTCTCAGCCTTCTTCTCTCTCTCTCGCTCTATACTCGGCTCTCTTTCTTTCTTTCTCTCTCTCGTCTCGCTCTCTCTCGCTCTCTCTCTCTCTCGTCCTCTCTCTCGCTCTCTCTCTCTGTTCTCGTCTACTCTATCTCTGTTCTCTTTCTCCGTCTCTCTCTCTCCTTTCTGACACACGCTGCTCCCTTTCATACCTCCCCTTCTTTTTGTGTCGTCACTCTCTCTCCGTCTATTGTTGTGTTGATTAACTGTAATGCCATTGTCTAGCCAGCATAATATAAACTTTCAAAAGATCATACCATAGTTCATCATTCATATTTGAATGTGCAGCGTATACCCGTGATTAGCCAGAATGCTGGCAGGGCAGCGCATTGGTCTTCATCAAAGCGCAAGTAGCAGTGCGAATACAGTTGTTGCCAATTACTATGTAAAGTGCGTCAAATGAGATAGCAACACTGGTCACTTTCTCGTTCTCTCTCTCGTCTCTCTCTCTCTCCATCTTCCCTCTGTGCTCTCTCTCGTCTCTCTCTCTTCTCTCTCTCTTTTCCCTCTCTCTCTCTCTCTCCTCTCTCTCTCTCTCTTCTCTGTCTCTCTCCCCCACCACTCTTCTCTTTCTCTCTCTCTCGTCTCTCCTCTCCTCTCTCGTCTATTTCTCTTTCTCTCGCGCCTCTCTCTCGGCTCTTCTCTCTCTCCTCTTCTCTCTCTCTCTCGCTTTCTCTCTCTCTCTCTCTTCGCCTTCTGTCTCTGCTCTCTCGTCGCTCTATCTCTCTCTCTTTTCTTTCTCTCTCGCTGCTCTCGCCGCTTCTCTCTCCTCTCTCTCGGCTCTCTCTCTGTCTCTCTCTCTCTCCTGCTCTCTCTCTTCTCGCTCTCGTGCGTCTCTCTCTCGTCGCCTTTCTCTCTCTCTCTTCTCGCTCTATCTCTCTCTCTTTCTTCTCTCTCTCCTCGCTCTCTCTCGCCTCTCTCGCGTCTCTCTCTCTCTCTCTTCGCCTTCTGTCTCTTCTCTCTCACCGCTCTGCTCTCACGCCTCTCTCTCTCTCTCTCTCTCTCTCTCTCTCTCTCTCTCTCTCTCTCTCTCTCTCTCTCTTTCTCTCTCTCTCTTTCAAAAATCATACCATAGTCATCATTCATATTTATGTGCAGGTATACCATTGCCAGAATCTGCAGCGCATTTCTTTCATCAAGCGCAAGCGGAAGTCATACAGTTTGTTGCCATTACTTGTAAGTGCTCAAATGGAGATAGCAAAACACGGGTCACTTTCTCGTTCCTCTCTCTCCTCTCTCTGCTCTTCTCTCTTCTCTCTCTCTCGCCTTCTGTCTCTGCGTATCTCTCGGTCGCTCTGCTCTCTCTCTCTCTCTCTCTCGGCTCTCGCTTTCTCTTCTTCTTCTCCCTCTCTCTTTCTCTCTCTACTCTCTCTCTCTCTCTCTCTCTCTCTCTCCTCTCTCTCTCGCTCTCTCTCGTGTCTCGCTGATCTCGGTCTCTCTCTCGCTCTCGCTCTCGTCTCTCTCTCTCTCATCTCCCTCTCTCTCTTCTCTCTCTCTCTCGTCTCTTCGGTCTCTCTCTTCTCTTTCTCTCTCTCTCGATCTCGCCTCATCTCTCTCTCTCTCTCTCTCTGTCTCGTCTCTCCCTCTCTCTAGGTTCTTTGTCTCTCTCTTCTCTCTCTCTCTCTCTCTCTCTCTCTATTTCTCTCTCTTCTTCTCTCTCTCGCTCTCTCTCGCTCTCTCTTCTCTCCCCTTCTGGTCTCCTCTCTCTCCCCTCTCTCGTCTCTTCTCTCTCCCCTCTCTCTCTCTCTCTCTCTCTCTCTCTCTCTCTCTCTCTCTCTCTCTCTCTCTCTCGCCTTCTGTCTCTCTCTCTCTCTCTCTCTCTCTCTCTCTCTCTCTCTCTCTCTCTCTCTCTCTCTCTCTCTCTGACACACCCTGTCCCTTTCATACCTCCCCTTCTTTCTCACTCTCTCTCTCTATCTTGTGTTATTAACTGTAATGCATGTTCTAGCCAGCATAAATAAAACTTTCAAAAATCATACCATAGTCATCATTCATATTTATGTGCAGGTATACCATTGCCAGAATGTGCAGCGCATTTCTTCATCAAGGCAAGGTAAGTCATACAGTTGTTGCCATTACTTGTAAGTGCTCAAATGAGATAGCAACACGGTCACTTTCTCGTTCCTCTCTCTCTCTCTCTCTCTCTCTCGCTCTCTCCTCCTCTCTTCTCACTCTCTCTCTCTCTCCTTCTCTCTCTCTCTCTATCCTCCTCTCTGTTATCTCTCTCTCTCTGCTCTCTCTCTCCTTCTCTCTCTCTCTTCTCTCCTCTCTCAGCTCTATCGTCTCATCTTCTCTCTCTCTCTTCTCTCCTCTCTTCTCTCTCTCTCATCCTCCCTCTCTGTCTCTCTCTCTCTCCTTCCCCTCTCTCTCTTCTCTTCTCTTCTCGCTCGCTCTCTCTCTCTCTCTCTCTCTCTCTGATCCTACTTATCTCTATCTCTATCTCTCTCTCTGCTCTCTGTCTCTCTTCCTCCTCCCCTCTCCTCTTTCCCTCTCCTCTCTCTCTCTCTCTATCTCGTCTCTCTCTTCTCTCTCACTCTCCCCCCTCTCTTCTCTCCCTCCTTTCTTTTGTTCTCTTCTTCCTCTCTCTTCTCGTGTCGCTTTGCACTCTTCTTGCTTGCTCTTTCTTTCTCGTGCTCCGTTCTCTCCTATTGTCTTACTATCTGTCTTTACTCACTCCTCTCACTCTTCCTATTCAGTTGTTCTCTCTCTCTATCTCTCTTTCTCTCTCCTTTTCTCTCTCTCTCTCTCTCCTTCTCTTTATCTCTCTCTCTCTCTCTCTCTCTCTCTCTCCTCTCTCTCTCTCTCTCTCTCTCTCTCTCTCTCTCCTGTTGCCCCAATCTCTCAATTTCTCACAAATAAGCTATATTAAAGTGATCGTAAATATGGAAATTAGGAGTTGTATAAAATTAACATACTTTAAAAGTAAGGTGTTGAGTTGAATGCATGAGGCCAACACATATATGTAAGATTATCTATTTCAAATTAAAAATAATTCTGTGTTTTGTTTGAACAGGCGGGACCAGGGCAGTGACGTGTTCCAGATGTTTATATATAGGTAAAATGCACATTTATAACTATTTCAGAGAGAGTATACAATTTGACATGATATGCACACATTCTCTACAACCCATGCATTCTATTCGTCAGTCTGTCTATCTCTCTCTCTCTCTCTCTCTCTGTCTCTCTCTCTCTCTCTCTTTCTCTCTCTCT